TTCATAATTACGTTGAAAATGTATTTGATGTTCAAGGAATCAGTGCCAGTCACATCAAATAAAAGTGTTACATGTCTAAAACAAAGCTATTTTATGATCATAAGCTGTTTTATTTTTGATGTCTAAGGAAACACTGCTAAACACATTAAATAACAGTACAACATACCTACAGTTTCTCTTTTCGACAAGAAGCTAGAAATAGTGAACTATATAAATAGAGGAACATTTTGTGTTTATAGGCCGTGTTAAGCCTCATTTAAGCCTAATCTATATAATTGCTTTTCTACATCATTTTTACCACTCAATACTTCTTTTCTGGCTCCAGAGAAACCCTAAACTAGGACTACAAGTTGCTGCCTGTGTAGTTGTCCGCACGCACTTCTATGCGAACAGCTACGTGGGAGATTTCTTCGCATTAATTGGCCAGCGTCGTCGTCTCCTCGTCCAGGCTGGGCGGGAGGGCGGTGGCGGTGCAGTTGAAGCCCTTCGAGTCGCTTGCGCCCGAAGGGATGAGGCAGACTGCTGTTCCGCGTCCGGTTGTAATGACAGACTGAGGCCCATCGTCTCCGCAATACATGCTACAAAATCATAAATCACATATGTACGTATATATTGGTGGATGGGCAGAGAGAATAAATCATAATATTAGTTGCTCGCTTCCCATAACATTCCTACAGAAAACAATAACAGCGTAAAAAAGAACAGCATATAACAGGGCACGCAGACACACTAGCACACAAATGATGTACCACAGAGAAGAGAACTTACGACTTAAGAGAGCTGTCAGCTGATATTAAGAGAAAGTCGTTGAAACAGAACAAGAACTTCCAGCCAACTTCGAACTCGCCGCAGTCAATCTTCAGCCTTCCATTGGGGTCGGCTGCCTGCGGGAGAAACTGCTTTTGAGCGCAGTAGAGGCATGCGTGCATGGGGTGTTCAATATGCATTTCCACACAGCCCTCTCTTCGTCACAGTGACCACGCTCTGCCCCAAAGAACGAAAAGTGGACAACGGGGCTTCGGATGGCGTGGGAGGAAGGCATGGAAAAGGAGCTAGGAGGCTGAAGAAAAGAGAGAAGAAAGAAATGGGAAAGAAGGAGAAGAGGGAGATGGGAAAGAGGGAGACGAGGGAGGAAGGAGAAGGAGAAGGAGATGTGAGAGAGGAAGAAGAGAGATGGGAAAGAAAGAGAAGAGGGAGATGAGAAACAAGAAGAGGGAGATGGGAGAGTGGGAGGAGATCTGAAGGGAGCTGGGCTGTGCAAAAGCTGAGTGGAAAGTGATTATACATACAGATATATACATGTACACATAAATACATGCATACATACATACACGGCTGTGTGTGCCCATGTAAAAATCTACACATGTAGGTAACCAGTGAGACATATATATGGGCCTTTCATATATGGCCCGGCCTGTCTCATTTTGTTCTCTGACACTCGGTGCTTACTGTGGCGGCGGGATAGCCAGCAAGCGCTCCTGCCGCCATGATGTAAGCATAACGCATAATCTCTTTACCATCTCGGCGGCTGTTGTTGGGGGTCCCTGTCTCAGGAATTGTGTGTACTCACAATTCTGTAAGTAGTGTACCAGGGTGGCGTTCGGCTCGCCACAATGCATGCAACACCTCTCTTCACGGCCTATTGTCTCTATGGTCTGCCCTGCACAGTGGTAATCTAGTCTGATACTGTGAAGAGTGACTTCGGTACCTCTGTTGATTACTTCAGAGAGTGCCAGTGACTCATAGCCTGTGGCGTCTGAGTATCAACAGGCCGAGGGGGAGGATCTCGTTTTTCTCTCTATGAAGCTGGAGGAGGAAAGTACGAGCGGCCGCAGTACACTTCTCCTTTAGGATTTTTCGGCTCGGTTGTATTATCATGGGATTTGGGGGCATACCCCTGCAAATGTCGGTTAGTCTGTCACCATGCTCGTTCTCTCTGATGCCAATGTGACCCAGTTAATGATTATTCTTCTACCCTGAGCAAAAATTCGTTGCACTATGGTAAGCACAGTGGTCAGGAGGTAGATGTTGTCTTTGAGTGAGCTGTGCTGAAGACAGTCAGTGGCTGCCCTGGAGTCTGTATGTATGACCACGTGTCCTTCCCTCAGGGACGCGTGGGCTAGGGCTCCCATGATTGCAACTGCCTCTGCCTGTAGCGAGGAGACGTTGTCTGTTACCCTCATGGATTTTGTGGCATCCCTTGCTGCAAAGCCGGCGCCTGCAGTGTGGCTCAAGGGATCGACTGATTCATCCGTGAAGTATGTTCTACTACCCGGAGGAGTGATGGCTGCTATGACCCTCTCGGCTTCTGTCTTTAGACAAGGCAAGGGGTATTGATTCTTCCTCCTTGACAAGCTCATGACAGATAACTCTATCAAGGTTTGTACCCACGGCGGGGCTTTGTATGCATTAAGGCACACCTTGGTGTTGTGTGCCTTATTGTAGACACCACATTTAGGCTTGGCTGTGCAGCTAGCCTGGTGGTGATAGTATTTTTGGCACCTAAAGCACCGAAGTGGCTCAGGCACATACGTTCTTAAGTTTGTGCCCCAGTTACCCAGATCAAGGGTAGTGGTTGGGGCTCATTTTAGGGTCACCAGGACTTGCCTGGTTGGAGTCTTCCCTTTCGACATTCGGAAAGCCTCCATGACCTGGGGAGCCATTGTAACGGCACTCACGGACCAGTGTGAGTGCCAACGGTGGCATGACTGCTTGACCTTAGCCTCCCGAAGGAGACCAGCCGATTGGCCTGACCGGGTCAGGATCAGGCCACCTGTCTTGCTGGAATAGAGGACCCAAGAGGCGTGTTGCTAGCCGCAGGGCGTACTCATTCACGGCATCGCTCAACCTCCAGGACTCCACAGCAAACACGTGGGTAGGTGTGACTATAAGATAGACATCGTTGTTTAGAACCCTTTTGCTCATCCCTTTGAAACAGCTACCCAAAGGCTGTTTCAGCTCAGTGAAGGAAGGGAGATCTTGCACCTTTTCCAGGCGGTTTCTTCATCCCTCTGAAACAACCACCCAAAGGGTGTTTCACCACAGTGAAGGAGGAGAGAAACTGTACTTTTCAAGGCGGTTCATGTACCTATTTGTTTGCGCTTAAATACATATACAACGGATGAGGCCAACACTCTCCGCCCACACTCACGCAGAACACCCAGTCCTTGGCGTCGCTTCCGTAACTCGAAGGGAAGTTCGGGGAGGAGAAGACCACGCTCTCGCCCGTCGCGATCCACGTCTCGTTTCCTGGCGAGAAAGGCGAAGCCCGTTGAGTGGAGCTGAACATGGAGCTTCGTGGTATGAAGCTAATGCCATGAATACTTTCTGTATATATAAATCAAATAATGTTATTACAGAAGAGAAGAGAGAGAGAAAGAGAGTGAGTGAGTGAATGAGAGAGAGAGAGAGAGAGAGAGAGAGAGAGAGAGAGAGAGAGAGAGAGAGAGAGAGAGAGAGAGAGAGAGAGAGAGAGAGAGAGAGATGGGTGAGTGACTGAGAGAGGGCGAGAGAGAGAGAGAGAGAGAGAGAGAGAGAGAGAGAGAGAGAGAGAGAGAGAGAGAGAGAGAGAGAGAGAGAGACAGACAGACAGAGAGAGAAAGAGCGAGAGAGAGAGAGAGAGAGAGAGAAAGAGAGAGAGAGAGAGAGAGAGAGAGAGAGAGAGAGAGAGAGAGAGAGAGAGAGAGAGAGAGAGAGAGAGAGAGAGAGAGAGAGAGATAGTAAGAGAGAGAGAAAGAAAGAGTGAGTGACTGAGTAACTGATTAAGTGAGTGAGAAAATGAGTGAGTGAGGGAGGGAGTAAGAGAGAGAGAGAGGCAGAGAGCGAGAGAGAGAGACAGAGACAGAGAGCGAGAGAGAGAGACAGACAGAGACAGAGAGCGAGAGAGAGAGAGAGAGAGTGGTTGAGATAGAGACAGACAGACACATACAGAGAGTGAGTGAGTGAGAGAGAAAGAGAGGAGAGAGGAAAAAGAGAAAGAGGGAAAGAGACTCACCATCGCGCCCGTTGGTTTCATTACATAGTTCTGTGTTATTAATGGCTATCGACCACATCTAAAAGAGAAATTCATATTGAAATCTTCATCCTCAGTAATCATTCTCTCCGTGCAATAGCTATCCTTCATCTGTTACTTATTTCTTACATGTTATCATTAGATCAAATACAACACGCCTGTTACGATCAATATTTTTCTGTTACAAGAATTTATTTATACATTCATAAAGATTTATCTAATACGATATAACATAGTGTGTATAACATAGTAATAAAAAATAGAGGACTTGCCACGAAAAAGCCTGGTAATAAAGCCGTCCTTGGGACGAAGAAAACGCAGAATATTCGTCACTCGATGCATGAGGTGACGGAGAGGAAGGGATCAATATGTTAATCTACTTTAAAATATACAAATAAAAAAGTCTAATATACAATTTTGATAATTAAGGATTCTATTAGATTGTTTTTATATGGATAATGATAATTACAAAGGATATATACTTGTTGAAATGCAAATTTGCAAATAATACTAATAAAGTTGACGATAACAAAGATAACAGAAACAGCACTACTAGTTGTACAAATGCACACAGCAATGGTTAATAGTAATTATGGAAATGACAATAACACTAACAAATCTACCTATCTCTTTAATTCTATTTATATTCATCGATCTACCTATCTAAAACATCCACTGAAACTCAACGATCTGAATTTAAACCGAATCCTTTCCGTCAATTTACTTACATTGTATTTGCGTCTTGAGACCCACGAGACTGGAAAAAAGTTCTCTTCGAAAAGCCAAGAGACGGTGAATAGATAACTTCCACCACACAAGTTCTGTGCGATCGCTCTGGTGGATTTCCCGCAACTGAGACGAGCAAGTGTTCGTTAGGTGTTATTACGAATGTGCAGCGATACGAAATACAATACTAATGAATCATTAAAAAAAAACGTAGAAGGGGTACCTATACTAATTGTGAATATGTGATTAATGCATTGTGTTTGTGAGGCGGCTGACACATATTCGAATACTGAACGATTTTCGATTTTAAGCAAGGCGCTTTATTTATTTATTCTAATATTATTTTTTGTCAGGTTTCGAAAGGCACCGGCAGTCGTTCAGGCTAATAAAGGGAAAAAAATTGTTGCTGGTAAGCAAGCTTTAGTCATGCGAATTCACAGAAATCGGTGTCCCACCCTACGCCCGCCATGTCCAATAAATCTTCTTACAATATTCATTGTTGTTTATTTTTACTTTTAAGAGGCATGATTTATTAATAGATTTTTAAGCGTTTTTAAAATATCTCGGGAGGGTGAACGAATGAAGGAGAGATAAAGAGAGAAGGAGAGAGAGAGAATATATGAATGAATGATAGATGGATAGAGATGTAATGAATGAATAAGTACGAAGAAAGAAGCAGTGAAGTAATGAAAGCCAAAGAATGTAGTAGAAATAAGCTTATGAAGGAACTATGACGGCCTGGGTACTTCTCGAGCTTGTGGACAACGCCACTTAAAAAAAAAAAAACTGATCTTGTGGCTGAAGCTGATCCGTTAGTTACTTAATATCTTCAGTCGTCATGTCAGTCGAGCTTTTTCTGAGTAGTGATGTAGTTGATAGTTGCATGTATAAGTTATTTTGACGAAGATCTCATCAGATTTAATCAATACGCAAGATGATATTCTAATGAAGTTTTAATCAAAACGCATCAGTTACATCTCTTGCAGTTTTGTTTTGTTTTTTCCTCCTTCTCTTTCCCGCCGATGAACTCAGCGAGGTCTACGAGAAGCAAAATGGCACAACGTCCGTTTTTCCAATAATAATGGCTATCATCATATCGTTTATCAAGCTCAAAGTTACTAGGGGCCATTCCAGTGCTTCTGGCTCCCTAGGATACGGTTTAGATGATGTGCTTTCTTGTTGACAACCTTTGTTCCGTTTAAAAATTGGGAGATAATGAAAACCTTAAATAAGATAAACGGCATCTCATATGCATACTTGTTGGTTCCGCATTACGAAAAAGCACACGTAATTCGATTTCTGTTTTTATTGCTTCATCGTTGACTCAAATGATATCTTTAGTCTGAAATGTCATTATGCTGGAGAAGCATTGTAGAAAACGTGTAAAGGGATAACTATACTATTTATTATTCATTGACTGTTCTTGGACGAATTATGAGGTCTGGAATAATCAATTCATATTATTATTACAAGATACCATGTTAACATTATGGGCATCGATGAACTCCGTTTGATGTGAATTGCGCAGCTTTTTTCCTCGGAAACCAACTTCCACGATGGTGTCGACTCCAGTAAAAAGCTCCCAGGGACCTTCGATCCTAATAAACGCCATGATCCTATGTGGCAAGAGTCGAAAAACAATTCTTACTTTTCCTTTTTTTGGTAAAACTTAATCTAATCAATAAAGGAATTCGATCCGGTTATTAGTTTTATTATTCTCCTCCTTTGTGTCACTGTCCACAAGCTCGAGGAGCAACAGGGTCCCCAAGACCGCCCTTAAGCAAAGTTCTAGAATATTCTTTGTCTTTCATTTATTCACTCTCTTTCTGTGTTGTTGTTGTCGTTGTTTCTCGTCTTAATGAATTAATTCTAATTAATAAATTAATTTAATCAATTCTCTCTCTCTCTTCTCTGTCTCCTCCCCCCCCTCTCTCTCTCTCTCACGCCCACTGTGCTCATGACCTCCGGCGTAACCTTGACCCTTACAAGGCACTCTACCTCGGGTCACGTTCCCGTTCGGACGCGGCCTCCTCCTGGGGGGTCACCCTCCAGGGCCCCCCACCTTGCCGGGCCTATTCGTTGGCGGCTACGCTACCGACACGCTACTCTACCAATAATAAACGTAACACCAGGCCGTGCGTTTCCGTCAACCAAACCCCGACATCTTGGTGGACAGCAGTAACAACAAGCACCTCACTCTCACTCTCTCTCTCTCTCTCTCTCTCTCTCTCTCTCTCTCTCTCTCTCTCTCTCTCTCTCTCTCTCTCTCTCTCTCTCTCTCTCTCTCTCTCTCTCTCTCTCTCTTTCCCTTTCCCCTTTCCTCCCTCTCTCTCTCTATCAGTCACTATCAATCTATATCTGTCAAATTAGATCTGTAACTTCCCTTCAGTCACTCATGCATTCTCTCTCTTTCTCTCAATATCTTTCCTTCATTCACCCTCTCTTCTCCTCATTAATTCCTTTATCTTTCCATTCTCGTTTTTTCCTCATTTCACCGTCCATCACCTGAATTAAACAGACAAGCTTCCTCAATCTCTTCCGCAACATCCCTGTCGTCTTCCGTAAGAGAAATTTCCGTAGAACAACCAACGAGATCTGAGAGAATCGTCGTTATCAGCTGATTTCCGTCGAACATAAACGCAGCAGTTAAACTCCTTGTGTGAGGCTTCCATTGAGGCTTCCGCACTCGGATTTAATTCTACGGCCGAGTGCACTTCACGGAAAACTTCCGTCAAAATTACTTATTAGATTGAACTGATTGG